ACTTTCCACTTACCAGGTCTTGGAAAGCTATAAAAGGCCTTTTTTAAGTCATAGAAAAACAAGGAATAGAGGTTTTTGTTGTTCCATGCTTTTTTCGTGGAGTTGCCTTGTACAGAAAATCTTGAATCCACATTGAGATTCTGGTAGGATTTGGCAATGATCTTGAGCCAATTTAGAAGGATTCTGTTGAACCATTGAATGAGAGTAATGGTATTCCTCTATAATTGCAACAGACTTTTCGGTCACTTTTTTTTAAAGATAATTATGATGACTGCATCTTTCATTTCTTTAGGAACTTTTTGGTATTCCCATATCTTCAGAATGAGGGTGAAAATATGAGTTTGAAAGTGTAAGCCTCCGTGCTTGATGTCGAACCTGTGTGCTTTCTGGGCCTGGGGACTTCCTTGATCTCATTTGCTTCAAAGTTTGCTTGAATTCTTGAACATTAGGCTTCATGTTCATGTATAGCCGAGGTTGACGATTTGCAACGATTCTCAGAAAGTCCTCAGCTGTGGTCGAGTTTTATATTTAGGAGGGTGGAAGAATGTTTTTTCTAGCGTCAGATTATGTCTGGTGGATCGGTCAGGATGTTTGTATTGTCACCTGTTAGAAGGGATTTCATTGATGTTCGTACTGGTCCAAATAATTGTTTCATTCCAGTATAGACATTTCTGAGGTAACGTGCATTTGTTTAGCCTTAAAGTTCAACTTCCTTTTGTTGCCATCAAATGTTCTTCTGTTAGTTTAGTTTTGTTTGATACTCCTGTTTTAGCTTTTGAAACTGGTTCTTCGGTATTGTCTAACGAGCATTCATTTTTTGCTTCAATCACGATGTTAATTTCAATATTGTTTTCATCAAACCAGTCTTGATTCTTGCTCTTGGTGAAACTGACGACCATGTTTGTTATTTCTGTGACTGGAGAACTATTCGTGTTGAAGTTTGGATAAGCATGGAATAATAATAATACAACACAAAATGTGCGTAAACAAAATGTATTGAAACAAGGAAAAGGTACACAATATTTACAGTTAGTTTTGGTATATTCTTGGGAAGACCGTTCCTGTAGAATGGGTTGACTTAATCGCAGTCGGGCAGAGTCTCTGGATTGGATCTCTTGTTACTTCCCTCGTCTTCCCGGTACCAACCCATATTTATATGGTCGGTACTCCAATATGCAAATTAAGTGGATCGTACCACAACAATTCGTGATAGACATGAGAGGTTGCCAATGTCGAGAAGAGTTCTAACATTCCATGTTCCAAAGATCATATTGTTGTTTCGACCGCTTGATGGTTTTCATCCTAGGCGCAGTTTCCAAGCCGCCCCTGATAGCGACATCCGATTTTTAGGACCTTTTCTAGGACCTTCCTCGATAGAGGTGGGCAGTGTTACTCCTAAACAGACCTTCCAAGACACGAATGCAGGACCGGCTCCTAAGTAATCAATGGATCTTAGGAGGAAGACCATCACACATTCGCCGCCAACGGGAAGATTCAGGACTAGAATCTTCCACTTTCACCAAACCTGTTTCTTTCATCCATTTCCTATCGCCGTTTGGCTTTGCAAAAGTTAGTTGGAAGTGAATGAACATCAGAATAGAAGAAGATGCTGATGGCGTAAATATGTTGAAGGTGAATCTCAGTTTACCAGAAAGTGATCCACACACTTGATTTCATGACCTTCCTTTGTAGTGCCTAATGAACGAGGCATGCAGAATCCAGTTATGAAACAGCAACGGACTGTCGATGACTCGGTTATAATTTCGACAGGCGCCTTCTATAGCATGTCCGTCATGCGTAACTCTCTGCATCAGTTGGTTCAACCATTGAGATCTGTTGTAATCATCATCTGTTTGTTACAATATTGGGGTCTTTGGGGTTAGTCTGGATCCTCATCTTCGACCATGCCGCCAAGGATGGCCCTACCAGAAGTTTAAAACACCTGATAGCATCGGTCTCAGAAAAACTCTTTATATATATATATATATATATATATATATATATATATATATATATATATATATATATATATGCATATATATGCAAGAAACTGTTAGCTCCATTATGGCATTTTGGGAATTTAGATGTAGATGTGCCGTATAAGTGATGTCATGTGAAGAATGGTTTTACTGAAATAGACAGCAACGGAGAATAAATACATTAAATATTTTATTCGTATTATAAATATTTTATATACATTTTAAAATACTGTCTCCTGTGGTGAAAGATAACTTATTTAATGTGGTTTGTCTCAAATTATGATCGTGTATAAAAATGAAACAAACTTCGTTGACTGAATTTAATAAAACTTGCACACACGCACGTACACACACACACACACACACACACATATATATATATATATATATATATATATATAGGGAATGAAATAGATCAAACGTGGGTTACATCTTTACACAAAAACATCAAAGATACGGTGACGCTTATTTTCAATTTACATTGTGTCATACGTGTATCTTGATGTTTAACTTAATCAATTACATTGAGCTTTTTATCGCTTTTATATTATCATTGTGTTTTTCACTAATCTTCATCCTATACAAAGTCCAAGGCCTATTCGATGTAGAAGGCTACTGAAGGAGTGTGTTGTGTGAGTGTTAAGTGTAAGAAGTAAGAGGTTTAGTTTATAAGGTTAAATGGAAAAGATAACTTTATATGAAGACTTGAAAAGATTAAAATTGTAGGGATTGGGAAATCATCCTCTTGAGAGTCGGTTCCACAAAGTAGCGGAGAAGCTGTTCGTCTGGAATGTACTAAAAGAATAAGAAGGGAATGTGGCTTGTCTGAACATTTTTCCATGGAAATAACAAAAGAGTAGCGAGAGGCTTGCAAAGTTTGTTTTTTCTTTCTGTGGGAAAAAAGTTTGTACAGTGGAAAATAATTCATTGCCCACAAGTGAAAGCTGATCACCTCTTGCCCAGATCTTACGGTCAAATCACGCTGAAAACACCGGTTCTCGTTCGATCACCGAAGTTAAGCATCGTAGAGCCAGGTCAGTACTTAGATGGGGGACCGCTTGGGAACACCTGGTACTGTAAGCCCCCAAAGTCCAACCCTTACCTCACAGTCGGTGCGGGGGTGTAAACGGTAGTGTCAGAGCTATGCCGCCCGGAACTTCGTTCCTGGTAGGGCCACCCAAGGCGGACAGGTCTGACACACACGCCGGCTAACAAGGGCTCTGGTGAAAATCCAAGGAGCGTCTGCATCGGTAACCGGCGGCTTCTGGTCGTTCCTGTCTCTGCGTCTGTGGGAATCCCGCGGCAAGCAAGAACGTTATCCGAGTAGGCCTGGGTACCCTACTTCTGTAATTTATCCCAAGAATCTTCTTCTCATAACAGGAAGAAGCCGGCTCAATCCGCCCAGGGTGAATGCCGCATCAGTACAGTACAGTAGTACAGATATGGCAACAGTACTCCATTTTCGGCCTGATTTGGTTCTTGTAATGTTAGAGGCTCTACTGAGTGATATGTACATAACCCCTTGACTGGTCTCGAACATCATTTCTAAATTAGATTCCCATTAGGCGAGTGGAGGTGACAGGATATCAGTGGTCGTCCTAAAGAAATGGGCTCCCGACCTGGCTCCAGTTCTCTTCAAACTACTCCACAACTATTACCTCGCTCCTTCCTGCTTTTCAGCTTGTTAGAAGTCCTCCTCTGTAGTCCCTGTTTTTTTAAGAACTCTGGAGAACCTTCTGACACCTCTAACTATCGCTCTGTGCCTTCTAGGCCTCGCGTTCTAAACCGACTTGAAGTGGAACGACTACATTGATTCAATAGCTGCATCTATTGCAAGGGAATTTGGTTCATTGTATCGGGCCAGAAGGTTTTCCTCGTCAGAGTCCATCTTGCACATTTACAAATCTACTATTCGCCCATGCATTTTGCCATATCTGATCTGGTGCCTCTATTATTCATTTCGAAGTTCTTGACAAAATCCAAAGAAGGATTTGCAATATATCGATCCTGACTTGGTATCTTGACTTCAGTCATTCTTTCACGGACGTGATGTGGCTTCCCTCTGTCTTTTCTACAAATATTTCCATGGCAACTGCTCTGATGAGCTTTTTACTCTGGTGACCCTTACTACATGAATTTAAGCGTGGTACTAAATTGACATCTACGTCCCACTCATTTACTGTTGAAATAGTTACATATAACTACCACTTCTACTCAGTTTATTTTCTCGCACTTCTCATCTGTGAACTCCCTTCCATTTACTTGCTTTCCTAGCAACTAGAATCTTCCAAAGTTTAAATGCAATCTCAGTCGCCATCTTCTGTTGTCTTGAACTCCGTTCATCTTTTATCCTTATGATCTTTTCTCTCACTTTCACTCTCTGTAACCACCCCCTGCGTACTAGTGGCACTCCCGCCTTGATTGTGTAAAATGATCAAAAAGAAAGAAATGTACTCAAATATGAGTATCCATTTAAAATAACCTTTAAAGTAATAAATTAAAAATATAATCCATTTCGTAATATATATATATATATATATATATATATATATATATATATATATATATATATATATTCGCTGTTGTTGGTTTTCTGTGAATATGTATTTATTTTTTAATCAAAATGGAGGATAAATATTTTTCACAGACTAAATTGCTGGCGCTTTACGACCCACCTTGCATTTGTTATTAAGCCATGTATCCGATTTATTTTCTCATCATTAAACTGCGGAAACCCCAAAAGTTAGTCTATTTATGCAGGTGTCTACATTTTTTTTTTTTTTTTGCCTTGTGACATATAATTTATTTTATGTTGTTATAGTTTCTTACAGAGAATTGAATTAATGTGTAATTACCTACTTTCTGTTTCTTTGATAAAGTATCCGTTATATTTTGTTCCTGGCGGGTTGTCTTGGGGACTACTTTGCATTTGAACGAACGCAAAAATAAAAAATAAAAATGTGTCTGAAAAAAATTAAACATGGGATTTGTACAAGAAAAAACAAAAAAGAAGAGAAAAACAAAGCTTGGAGTCGCAGGGAGAAAAAAAAAGAGAAAAAAGAGGAAAAAAAGAGGAAAAAAAAGAGGAAAAAAAGAGTAAGAAAAATAGAGGAAAAAAAAGAGGGAAAAAAAAGAAGAAAAAAAGAGAAAAAACCTCACTAATTTAACGTTAGATTCTAAAAATGAAAATAAATTTAATAAAATGCGAAACACAGGCAAGTAATAAATTATTAATTATTTTCCCTCATATGGTTTACTTTTGTTTCTCAAGAAATGAAGAACAGTTTCTCCCTCACCAGATACTAATTTATTATTGGTAACCAGTTTTTAGTTATATATATATATATATATATATATATATATATATATATATATATATATATATATATATATATATATTCTGAACAATAAAAATATTAAAAATTACAATCTTCAGACACACTGGGTTGTAGATTAATATTCTTTCGTTTTTATTATTAATATTTCATTTAGATTCCTCGACTAGTTTCGGCCAACATGGCCATCATCATTTATATATATATATATATTTACATATATATATATATATATATATATATATGTGTGTGTGTGTGTGTGTGTGTGTGTGTGTGTGTGTGTGTGTGTGTGTGATGGAATTTTAAATTTATTCCAATCCCATAGTATGTGAACCGTTTTTTTTTAAACGCCATACCGTTAAACACACACACACACACACACACACACATATATATATATATATATATATATATATATAAATGAATGAAAAATATAGATATACGTGCAGTGATCGTATGCAAACACATATAAATACTCTATAGTGTAAGAAAAATGTGCTCAGTGTAAAATAACAGAGCTATTTAAAATATATATTGAGAAATATACATAATATCTTACATTGCACAACTCCGAGTTTCATGCCGAAGCAATTTCCAAGTGATGGAAGTATTTTTATTTTTAATAATATATATATATATATATATATATATATATATATATATATATATTCGGAGGAGAAATGACATTTCTCTATGACATTTTCTCGAATGAGTGTAGTTTCTTATACCTATAGGCTTACTACTAATAGTAATAATAATATATATATATATATATATATATATATATATATATATATATATATATATATAAAAAATGTACAGTGAGTTAAGATGGTAATAAAAGGATGGATGATGCGAAATAACAGAGCTAAGATTTATACTATGAATTTTCTTCATCAGATCATTTGTTAGCAGACTCAAACGTTGAGAAGCAAAATTTATATTTATTCGTAGTATCAGTAATGTAGCTTTTCTATAAATACTTTCATAGTAATTATTCAGAACATATGATACCTAGGTTTTATGAATTTAAGCGTAGTATTAGATTAGTGACAAGGTCTCATCATTTTACTGTTGAAATGTTTAGCTGTAACTGTACGTTCTATACTAATAGTTTCTTTTCTTGATTGCAGAAATCTCTTCCGGCTTCTTGCTTTTCAGTCAAGTTTGATCTTCAAAATTGTTCTAAATTCCTGTTCTTTTATTTTTCTTGGTCCTTAATAATTTTCTTTTTTTTCTATATTCTTTCACACTTAGTAACCCTCTTCCTCTGCGTCTTAGTGGCTGTGTTACCTTGCTGAGGGTGAAATGATTAATGTATATATATATATATATATATATATATATATATATATATATATATATATATGATAAAATGGACTGTCCAACACTTATTTTAATATATTTTTTGTTTATACGTTATTTTTATAAATACAAATAATTAAGTAAATGCTCTGTTTATAATAAACAGTATTAACAGAGGTTAAATTACTGTTTTTGAACTATATTTTTCACTGTTTCAAAAAACAGTAATTTAACTTTCCTAAGCAGAACCTTCCTCTGTAGCTAAATAGTATAACACATATGGCGGTTCTGTGTAGGGTACAGGTACGATTCCAGTAGGAAGATACAAATTTTTCTTTGAGATTTCGCGGACATTCAGACCGATAAATGTAGTTAATACTGTTTATTATAAACAGACCATTTACTTAAATATTTGTATCTATAAAAATAACGTATACACAGAATATATATATATATATATATATATATATATATATATATATATATATATATATATATATATATATATATATATATATATATATATATATATATATAGTGGGGCAGTGACTAATAATAGGGATAGAGTATCTTTTCTACACAGCGTGTGGACATCGGGATCAACAGAGTGATCTTCAGACCAAAGGTGTTAAATTGACAGTCGCTTGGGAAAATTGATTCTTATTTCGACATATACATATGTGTATGTATAGATTATTATTATTATTATTATTAATAATAGCGTTATTTAAATGCATCCATGTGCTTGAACTTGTGAAATTGATGTTTATCGGCCTAGGGCATCTGAATTCTTACTAATGAAAATCTACCTTTCTTCAGGGATCGAACCTGTAATCTTTTTATTCTTATAATCAATATTCTTGATATCCAAGTGTGCTTTACCATTTCAGAGATCTTTACAACAAAGGCAGTTGCTGTAACATAGCATCATACCGGGAAATAAAGCGAGCATAACGGATTTCAAATGTATGTGACATCACTAGAGATCCTTATGAACTCCAACCGATCACACTCGTCTGTATAGCCACATCTATCATTCCAGATCACTTGAAAGCATGAAAGTTAAGACTTACATTTATTATCTCGTCCTTCTCTCTGATCAATGGGGCTGGGGGCTATATTAAGATGTTTTTAAGCAATTCACCCCAAGCAAGGCAGGAGTGCCACTAGCAGGCAAGGGGTTACAGAGAGTAGGGAACAAGAGTAAAGAGGCGTGTTTGGGGAGGGGATAAAGAGAAGGAATGGGAACAAAATCAAAGTATCAAAAGTTGATTGACATTACACTTGAATATTTGAAGATTATAGTTATCAGGGAAGGAAGCAAGCAAGAGGAAGGGAGTTCCACGGATGGGAAGTGCGAGAGAAGAAGCTCTTTGGGTAGAAGAGACGGTTACATTTAACCGTTTCGACACTGAAAGGGTGGGTCCGAGATGCCAGCCAAGTAGCTCGCTTAAATTAATGCAGTCTGGGAACCAGCGAAAGTAGCTCGTCGGTACAGATGCCGTGAAAATACTTGTAGTAGAGACATTGAAGCCACTGCATGTCTGTGAGAAACGACTGTAGATGAGATGCCAGATGAGGACCTATCGCATTGCATATTCGCCTCTGGATTTTGTTGAGGACCTCGAGACTTATAGCGGGGACACCAGATCCTCTATGATGGCAATATTCCATGCAAGAACGGATGGTTGATTTATAGATTTGAAAGACGAGATAAACTTTCTGACACGACACAGAGAACCAACCTTCCTTGCAGTAGATGAAACTATTGAGTCTATGTATTTGTTCCACCTCATATCAGCGTGTGATGAAGCAGGCGCAACGAGGCGCTCTCGTGGCGTCGGGCATCAGCCATTCTGATGGGAGGCAGGAAGGGCTCGCTGTGGTGAGTAAATGAGAGCAGTTTCGTTTTGGAGGCATTAAAGTTTCTAAGCCATTTCCTGCTCCAGTCAACCACTGATTGCATGTCTTTTTTCGAAATCAGCGGTCAGGTTAGCTTTGTCAACGATACCAGATTTATTATTGAGGCAGGAGTAAATAGTAGTGTCGTCCGCGTAGATGCCTATTTGGGGACTGATGATATCAGGAAGGTCATTAATGAAGATCAGGAACAGTGTAGGACCCAAGATAGGGCCTTGGGGAACACCAGTGTTCGTGATAAAGAAGCTGGAGGAGAACCCGTTTAGGACGACCTTCATTTCACGGTTTGGCAGGAATGATTGTATTAAGTCAAATAACCGTCCTATAATAGCGTATCCCTGAAGCTTACGAAGAAGGCCGGCATGCCAAAGCCTGTCAAACGCTTTAGAGATATCTAGAACTACGGCTCGAGCTTCTTCGTTATTGTGAAGTACTTGGTATACAAATTCAGTTATGGCCGTAAGCACGTCAGTGGTAGATCGCGTAAAACGGAAACCATATTTCTTGTCGGAGAGCAGATTATGTGAACTAAGGTGCTTAACCACTTCAGCGTTGATTAAAGCCTCGAAGACACTACTGAAGAGTAGTAGGAGCCTGATAAGACGGTACAGAAGGGTCTCCAGAGTTCTTAAAGACAGGCACAACAGGCTGGTAGCAGGAGTCGGTGAAGTTTGGGGAGGCCAGGAGCCAATTCAGGAGCACAATTCTTCAAGACAATTGCCGTTGCCCATCCCCATCACTAGCCTTATGGAAGTCTAATTTAGGAATGGTGTCCGATACCATCGTTGGGGTTATGTGTATCTCACTCAGTAGAGCCTCAGTTCTAAGGGAAAAATCACGTGTGGGTACACCAGATGAGTATAGCGTTGAATTGGATGAGAATTTACGGGTAAAGTATTCAGCTTTATCAGCTGAGGAAGTCAGGACCTAAAATTGTTTGAATAAAGGAGGTATTATGCGTTTGCTGTTGTTCAGCGCGTTCTTGTAAAGCCGCCAATAATATTTAGAACCAAACTTGCGAGACGCAATACACTGTTTCATTCTTTGGGCAAAGAGTAACTCTGCTTCTTTGAGGACACGCTTGAACTCGTTACGAGCAGTGACAAAGAGACGTCTGTTTTAATCAGACATGTCGCTACGGTACAGACAGAAGTAATGATTCCTGTGGGCAATAATAGCTGGGCAAGCAGCTGAGAACTAAGGGGATGGACGCGGCTTCACTTTATATTTTCTTGCAAGGATAAAAGCCTCGATTGCAGCTTTTATCCAGGATGAGACCTCAGACACACATTCTTGGACGGGGAAATTAAAAGGGGACATCGCGAAGGAAATCACGAAACGAGTCCCAGTCTGCTCATTGATAACAGAAAGATGTTCGGTTTGCAGGTGGTTCTTTACTGGAGGAGAAGTAGATGTTAAGATACAACGGCATGATCAGAGTTACCAAAAGGGAAGAGCTGCGTGGCATGACAAGACTCGAATTGAGTGGTATTTCTCTGCGTAGAGAAAATCCGAGTGACGAGAGGAAAACGGTAAAAACAGAGCCAAAAAGTCGCTAAGCTTGTGGAGAGTTCTACAAAATTGTGTTCTGCCCAATTCTGACTAAATAACCTATT